TATCGACACTTTTTTTATCCAAAGCGACGTACATTTCAGAGAAAGCAGGATGAGACTTAACAGGATGAGCGATTAGGGAATTAAGGGCCCTGCTCAGGGACCCAATGGTGGCATCACTCCGCCGACCATGGGATTTGAACCTGCAACTTTCAGATCGTAGGCATTCAAACCCGTTAAGCTTCTCAGCACCCCCCAGATAATATTAATTTAAAATCAGGGTTTGTTATATACTGTGAGAATAACTGCTTCTCTGTTTGCCCAATAGCCTGTGGTTTTGTGTCGGAGGTTAAGTCTGTGATGGGAGCCAAAGGTTGTGAAGAATGTTGGCATCCCAGTGACTGCACTCTTCACCCGCACTGCGTCTCAACTGGTGAAGGAAAATAAAAATCCTTAGAGAAGTTTACTCACAATTTACTGCTTGAAACTGCTCCGTTGGAGCTACCCTCATCGTCATGTCTGCTCAGCGCTGGACGTGTTTCACTGGTGTCACATTATAATGAAAAATATCTGCGATGTAGAACCCATCAGCCAGAGAGCGAGTCTCACTCAACTCCATCGTTAGCCTGTATCTATTTAATTATCAAATCACTGCAATAATTACAGTAATTTTGTGTCTAGTAACCTTGAAGAGTTTTGAACTGCCAGCATTGAAATGGAGTTTCTGTCTCATGTAACAGTGATTAGCTCAGGGATATTTGTTAGCATCCCACCAAATATGGTACTGTATGCACAGTTTGTTGTGGAAAAATACCTCCCGTTTCTTGAAGCCTCAGACAGCATAAGGAAGAGTATGCATCATATCGTCTGTGAAATGCAGTCTGCACCAGCACGTGCAGGTGAAACGCTCATGTTTGTGAAAAAGCACCCAGTCAGCACTCAGATTCCATGTCCTGTACATTCACTTCTGTAGCTGACTCATCATTATTTGTATGCAGATTTTTTATCCCTATTGCAATGGATTTTGGGTTCTCAAGCCCCAAAGAGCTCACACACACACACACACATACACACACACACACACACACACACACAGTGGTACCTCAGTTCTCGAACTCATTAGAACTCGAATTTCTTAAAAGTTGAACCAACCAGTTCGAAAAAAAATTACCTAGAACTCGATCTGAATCTAGTCAAACCGTGAACGCCGACCTAAGATCTTGTACACACGGGGAAATGAGTCACGCGGCATGTCTCTCAGCGGAAACAAAGGGTAACACTTCAGTCTCAGCCTCGCATTCACTGTGATAGCATCCTGCATGTTTACACTAGCTGAATACATATATTTAGACAGTAAAAATACATTTAGACAATGATAGACAGTAACAGTAATTATTATAATAAAATACATTTTAAAATAAAGATTTCTTATTTTAATATTAATAAACTTAATACATTTAATTATAATAATATTGTCGTGCGAAGATAACGGAGACAAAGGCTGAGACGTCAGGGTATCGGGGAATACGGGGTTTAATTACAGGTAAGGCAGGCAAAATGCAGACGGACAATACAATGACCGGACTGGGGACGAAATACAGAGGATTAATGATGACAACCAGAAACAGCTGATCACACGGGGTTAACAAGGGGGCGTGGCACATGGAAGGAGCGGACGATCCATTTATTTTCTTACTTAACAAATTACTGTTTTGATAAATGTGCTTAGATGTGTTTAGAAGAGCATATACTGTACTTGTTTTATCCGGTTCATTTTGTGTTTAAATGCTAAAAAAAACATATAGGTGTAATTTTTGAGGGCCAATTAATTGGTTTTCCATTATTTCTTGTGGGGAAAATTCGATCAGAACTCGAACATTTTAGGATTCGACCCGGAGTTCTGAACGGATTAAGTTTGAGTTCTGAGGTACCACTGTGTGTATATACACACAGACAATCCTTTAACAAGCAGAAAGTATCTTTAAACTATCACCCTGTCATCTGCATGAGGCTTGTATACGGTCATGTGTGGGATAAGTACAGAGAAGGTAAGATGTAGAAAATATTATTAATCGTTGAAGTATGTTACTGAACCTCAGAAATGTCCTGTGTTCCTCAGCCTGTCCACCATGCCCTCTGGTGGCGAGGTAGCCAACGTCCCTTTTGGCCTGGCGGTAATCACGGATGACTGAGTGTCAGGCCCGTCTGGAAAATGTACATAAACGCAGTTATGAAACCACCACAACATATTAATTTATTGGGCATTTATGTTTAAAGCATGTTTGAAAAGCTGGTTTCATTAGTCCCTGGGGCAACTGGGGGCTCCACGGTGAAAATACTCTGCTGCTGGGATTTGAACCAGCAACCTTCTGGTCACAGTCACTGCATCCTAACCTGCTGAACCAACTTTGCTCTTAAGACTCAGACTGCCCTTTTTAAAAGAATACAACTAAGGCTCCTCAGGCCGAATCGGACTCCCCCATTTTCCAGATACTACTCCTTTGGACTAAACTAAGCTCACAGTCTAAACATTATGGATGTTTTGTGCATGGAAACCTGGATGTGGTGTCAAAGGCTGTGACACCACAGCTCAGAGAATCCACATTTTCCTCTGTTCATTGTGCATCTCTCCTCTCCCCTCACCTCCACGCTGCTGTCGTGTTCCGGACTTTCCCCTGAGGTGCTGAAGCAGTTCTGAAACCCTTTGCTGCTTTACAGCTAAAATATATCCAGGTCATTGACGGATCATCCACCCTGAAGCAGGGCTGGCTTGCTGCTTGTTAACTTGTCTGTTTGACTGATGTCTGAAAGCCACAGACTTTCACAATCCTATATTTTTTGGTCTGCTATTGTCTGGATGTGTGGTGGATCTTGTTTTGTTGCAGTTAGCACACGGGAGTTATTGTTTAGGTGTTTTTATCTATATAGAGCATCGTTACAAACAAGAAGAATGTGATCGAACCAATTAGAGCCCATTTCTGTTTATATACGTTTGCAATGGCTTTCGTGTCTGTGGGTGAGTAGATATGCAGTCCGACCAGCTGGCTAGACAGCCCTGCCTCCCAGTGCGCATGTTTGTGTGTGGTCTAGGTATGCATCACATTGTGGGGACAAAATGTCCCCACTATGTCATAAAAACCTGTCATTTTGATGTTGTGGGAACCATTTTTTCGGTCCCCACAAGGGGAAATTCAATTTTATTAGAATCTGTGGGGAAAAAAATAAAATGGCAGAAGACTTGAATTTTGTTTGGTTACTTATGGTTAAGATTGGGGCTGGGTAGGGGTTAAGATTGTCATGTTGGGATTGGGGGTTCGCCCATGGGAATAAATAGACGGTCCTCACAAAGATATGAGTGCAGGTCTGTGTGTGTGTGTGTGTGGGGGGGGGCGGTTTCTCTATCCCTCTTTCCTGGCCATTAGGGGGGGTGCATTCGAGCTCGTTATAGGGGTTTCCAGGAAGTGTCTTGGCTTGGTGCTGAATCGCTGTACCACCAAGTGCAGGCCAGGGGCGTATCGGCCATGTTAATAGGTGTATAAATTGTAAAATGCATAGTGTGGGTAAAAGTCGCAGCTTAAAGCAAAGTACAGCTACTCTTTTTATCATTATAATTGTCTTTGTTATTATTGCTCATACTAAAATGGATCAGTTTCCTAGGTAGGGTCCAGCCAATAAGAAGAAGCCCCTGGTAGCCAGATCATTAAATGGATGAAATGAAAATTAATCACTGATTTATTATTACTTGTGAGGAAGGGAGTGGTAATCAACTGTCTAGCAGGCAGCTACCAAAGGACCAAATCCAAGCTCTCTACCCCCATCCCCCCCCGCTGTGTTTCCTACATTGAGTCCTCCAGCCTGGATCCTGCTCCCCCTCCCTGTTTGTTCCTGTCGACCTGTCTTATTCAGCTAGGCTCACGGACGCTGGAATGACATGGAACGTAACTCTTAGCGATAAACACCACCTTTGTGTGTGTATAATGTTCTAAAACCGTTTGACCCTGAGAACCTTCCAGGCACCTGGATGCTGGTGTTAAACCATATTAACCGGGTGGTAAGTTCTTTATGGGTGAGGTTAAAGTTGGTGGTTTGTCACTGTCATTTGTTATCAGGCCTTATCGGGCTGTCTGTCAATGAAGTGACCTCGTAGGATGCATTTGACAGGACACACAGTAACACTGCCATGATTCTCATCAGGGTTTTCCAAAAGAAACCGTCGCAGCTCATCGGTAGCCCAGGCAGAAACACGGAGAATTACGGCACAACCTGTATGTGGTCCTCAGCGCCGGCTGGTGTCGATGGCTGCCATGTGCACCGTACCACACCGGGACTGTAGCCAAACTCCACAAGGGTGTTTCCCCGTTGGCGCTGGCTTGTGTGTAAGCGTTCAGAGAAATATTAAAGTCCTCTAGCTAAAAGAACAAGACTCCAAAGAAACTCAGACTGACTAACAGGTGTGAGGCCTGCGGTCATGTGACAACGGCATTTGATGTGCCAGAAGGAGGCGCAGACAGTGTGCGGCTCAGCAGGCTAGGACACGATGTTTGTGATCAGAAGGGCATGGGTTTGAATCTCAGGAGGAGCAGAGTGATTTCACCATTGGGCTTTTGAGCGTGGTCCTTAGCCTCCAGTCATTCCCAGGACTGTCTGAACCTGCATTTTCAAAAATGTATGTTACTTTAGATAAACACATCAGATCAATAAATTAAAATATTATAATATTGTAATTTTTTCCATGGGTGTAAAGGGAATATGGGAATAGTCACAGTCACATCTAACACCAATGGCCGTGCCTCTGTCCCCGGAGGCGTGAGGGTCTCCGACAGCTGGGGTGGCTCTAATGAGTTATCATGAGCGTTCAGGGTGTTTTCTCAGCAGCAGGGAGTTCTGGCGAGTCCCGACATGTGGCATTGAAGCCAGACTCCTCCAGTCGCTCGGTGACGAGGATGTCGGCAGAAGGTGGCCGCCTGCCATTCGGGTGATACAGCTCCGCAGCCTCACCGGTTCTGCGTTCCGCATTCCACACCGGGTCACGCTAACGGTGCTCCCCTTCTGTCCCTGCACAGGACCTAAGCTCCCTCACCATGCCGTTCCTGGAGGGGGACACCGATGACAAGGACAAGGACGGCCCGCACAAGGTGAGGCATCCGGCGCTACGCGACTCCCCAGGGCAGACGGCCGGTTCTCGGGTGGCGTCCGGGCTGATGGGCGTTCCCACAATCCCTCAGGGTGCTGGAGAAGCAGGAACCTGCTGTTTGGGATCCACTCTGAGATCGTACGGGATCAGGTGATGCGAGCGTGTGTGAACGGGGGAGTGATGAGCTTTTGGAGGCTTATGTAACACAGCTGGATTGTTCTCTCGAATGGCGCCTTGTTTTACATTTTCACAGCCAGTAGATTTATTGGGCCGATTCCTGTGAAATGTGCTCATTGTGATCGTTTAGCTGTCATGGTCACCCGCTGAGTAAGGCGGAGATGTCACTCCTGTATGCTCCCTCGAATGGTTGTTATCCATCTGTCCATCCGTCCCTCCTTCTGCTTATCCTGAACAGGGTCGATTATTATTATTCAAGGTTTCGTGGGTTTTTTTTTATTTGTTTCACATGCAGGGTGTGCAGTCACACTGTAACCTGCAGTGAAATTAATTGTAGTCAACTCTGCCAAAATAGCAGTAGTCATATTAATAAAAGAATGAAAAATAATATAAATCATAGTGAAGAAAAAACGAAAAAACAAAAACAGCAAGGTGTAGTGTGTATTTATAATATTATTATTATTATTTTAATAATAATTAGTATTATCGACATGGAACATTGGCTGTGTGACCAGACAGAGGTGCCAGTCTTCCTGACCTCACACACCCCATCTGTCATATCACAGATTGACACTTGCCTGGGGCAATGTCACCGGTCACCATGGTAACAAATCCGAACATCCCCAGACACGCCCTTAATATCACCTGCCTCTTCCATGACAAACCTGACAGGGCAGTGAAGCCTCTTACTGCTGACTCTGTAGTTCTGCAGTTAAATTCTCTTTTCGCCACTAAATGGTTGCTGTAGAGAGTCTTCTCATTGAGAAAATGATTTATAACTGGTATAAGTATCTGATTTAACAACATTTTAAAACATTCTGTGACTTGAGTGACGCTATGTTCATCACATGACGATATTAGATCCTCCCCCAACCTGGCATGCTGCCCCCCCCTTGCTTTCTCCTTCCCATAACCAAAATGGCCATAATCCGCCACACCTGTGTCCGGTTGGTTGATCATCTGAGTTTCTTAATTGGTCGTTGGCTTGTTTCCCGTGATAATTTGGTGGTAGCTCTACAGAGAGGCCTTTTGACAGATCTGAGACAGATATTACAGTATATACGGTTATATTTACCATGGCTTGTACTGATATAACTGCCTCATTCAAGATCAACATTGCTAATTTTTTTTTAATTCTGCCTGAGGTGATTTGCGATTAAAAAAAAAATGACTGGTTAATATACCAGGTTGCCTCGTTAGCTAATTCCCGGTTTCTGTCCCGCACACCTGCCTCACTAAACTGCTCTGATTAAGCACAGCTGTTTCATTCAGCGTGATGCTTGTGGAGTCCAACACTTTTAGTGAAGCAATTCTTTGAGTGCAGCTGGATGGTATTGGGAGATGGAAGCCAAGGTGGTGGAGAGAGCACAGGTGGGTGTTCGAAGGCCTGTGCAAATGAGGGCGCTGGGTCGGTTGATTCTGTGTATGTTGATGCAAGAGCGCACACCACCGTGAGCAGGTGACATCAGCAACAGCACTTTGAAAGAAAGTGTCATGTGACCAGGTGCAGACGCATGTCACCATAGCGCCTCATCTCCTAACACTTCCATGCCATGATCTTTAAGCCTTTAAAACGGCCTGTACCATCCATCCATCCATCTGCCATTTTTGTGGTCCTCTAAGTGTGTCTGCCTGTGTATGCGCATGCGTTTAAGTGTTAATTGATGTGTCTATATGGTGTCTGTGTCAAGTCAAGTAGGCTTAATGGTCATACTGTCTAGATAGGTACACAGTGCAACAAAATAATGCTTCCCCTGCATTTTCACCGTACTTTATGAATGGTGTTTTTCTGTTCATATATCTCTTTGTTCTGAATATGCACGTCGTTCATCTGCACTTGCATGATGGCAAAGGCCAGCTGTTTAGCCCACAGCACAGACCTGCTGTGTTATTCACATGACCGTTCCTTTGCTTGGTTGTACCCCTGTAAGTGCGTGAGCATGAGGTTTTGGAGGGTGCTGGTGTGTCATTCACAGGGTGATTTTGGCCTGGAGGCTCCTTAGCTGGGCTTTTACTGCTGACATGGTTGGTCTCATCATGAGGTTCTCAGATGGAGGGTCTTCATGGTAGAGCAACAGCGAGAGATTCCTGTAGGGCTTATCACATCATCCTGGTTAACAAGGACTAGAAGACAGCCGTTAAAATATTATTCCTAAGTGGCTTCTTTAGTTTTTTTATTTAAAAAAATGTCTGTTCCTGTCTCTTTCATGCATTAAGTTCTTTACAGGCACATTAATTTTCTGGGGGGGAAAAAAATTAAACAGTCATTTTTATAGAAGTTCAAAGGTTGCTCCATTCACTAGTTGCCATGGCAACATCACGGTTTGGGTTTTTGTTTTTTTTTTTTTTTGCCTTATCTGTTTCCAGAGTGAAGCAGTCTTTTCACCTCTCAGTTTAAAAGCCCCCCCCCCTCAGGAGTCCTACCGCTCCCTGTTGTTCAAACTGTGCAGTTGGGTAATTGTCATCAGGGAAACGCCACATGGGTTTTACCCCCCCCAGCCGTAATAATGGATTGATAACGGGTGCTACTCTGTGTAAATCCCACGGTAGATGGCAGCAAGGCTGGCACCCCACCCAGCACTGGGGGCTGTGGCTAACTGGGGGGGGGGGATAGCTAAATCCCTCCCTTCACCTATACCAGACTCTGTCATGGTGGGGGAGGGGGTCGTGCCAGCCTGTTCCTCCTGCCACAGCAAGGCCTTTATTTACTTATCAGTCTGTCCTACTCCCGCTCATCACCGGCCAAAATAAAACCCAAACTCTGTCTTGCACCCCATCTACAAACCACAGCATACCCCTACACTCCTTTAGCAGGGGGCCTGACCAGTTCTTCATCCCTCCATCCTGTCACATCCCTTCCTCCAGGACCAGTCTACCTTTTCAGGGGCCTTAGGCAAAGCTTAATTTGGGAGGCCCCCTCCCCAAGATAACCGATGATTTCCCTTCCTCTGCAATGCCCCAGGCCGCTGCCTGTCCTGCTTACAGCTAGAGCTGCCCCTGCCTTCCTCCCACCCCCACCTGCTGCTTATGGGTTATTAGCAGAGGAAAGTGACCTTACAGCGTTAATCATCAGAGGCTTGACTCTCTTGCTCACTGCTAGACCTGGCTGTGTAGTGCCAGTAATCAAGTTAAAATCTAATGCCTTTCTGTTGGAATGATCCTGGGGGAAGGAGGGTGTCACAGCAAGGAACAACAACAACAATAATAATAGTAGTAGTAGTAGTAGTAGTAGTAGTAGTAGTAGTAGTAGTAGTAGTAGGTAATAATAATAATAATTAATGTGGCGCCTTTCACAATTCCATGGTTGCTTTAAAGGAACCAAAAAAAAAACTAGTCATCAGGAGCAGACATAGAAATGTTCATGGAAGAGAAATGTCTTTAGTTCAGATTTGAAGGACAGAACAGTAGGAATTGCACAGCTTGTGGTGTTTGTCGAGGCAAGCGGCTTGTTTTTGTCTGGACGTGGCTTACGGCACAAGTCTGACTCAAGTTAAACTTGTAGCAGATCTGTGTGTGTAGCCTTGTACTTTTCAACAGAAGCCCTCCCCCCATCAGTGGAGTAGATCTAAATTGCCATGAAAAACTGGCTGCGAGGCACCAGCACCCTGTCTTCACAGTCTGCACCAAGGTCCCGTTTGGGTAAATACCCAGCTATTCTTTTCATTTTTTTTCCTCTATCCATAGTTTTCTGCACCCTTGCCTGGTTGAAAATATGGCCTCTAGCTTGTTTTATGTCTGCCTCGTTAAGACAAATTCTTACCATTTATCTGACCCAGCCGTGTGTGTGTGTGTGTGTGTGTGTGTGTGTGTGTGTGGTATACTGACCAAGCAGGCAATGATTTGATGATGTACCCTACTTACCGTCTGTGATGTCATTATTGTAGCTTGTATACGGTTGACGCCCTGGCAAGAAGAAAGCATGTAAAAGAATATTCCACTAAATGAATGTTTTCTCTGTATGTTTGAGATTTCAGACTGCAGCCGCTCCTCATGTTTTACTTGTATGAAGCACAGCAACTTGCGCTAACAGCTGAGTGATGGTACATTGTCAGGTTCAGTTAACTGACAATTACCGTCCATCTGTAACTGAGTTGGGCCACTAAAGTGACAGGAAGCAGTTGTATTAGAATGGATTAATGTCGGCCGGAGGCTGATCGGCTGGTGACTGATTGGCTCTCAGCAAGTCGGGTAGATTTGATTCTCATTGAATGACCAAATTGTGTTTTTGCTGGACCATTGCAACCAAAAGGTCATCTTCTTTCTGGTGCTTTAACGATTCTCGTGTGTGTGTGTGTGTGTGTGTGTGTGTGTGTGTGTGTGTGTTTAAGCTGGTAAAACTGTTGTATTCCCAGGTTTCTTTTTGAAAGTCTTTTTAAAGTGTAAAGAAATCTTATTTAGTTTTAAGTAGCTTTTTTATGACTGAATGTCATGAACGTCAACCTGAATAGTTGTTTACACACAGAATATTCACATGCCCTGTGCTGTAGGTAGTCCTTTTAACCGGGTGGGTGTTGGGTTGTTTTCCCTCCTTGGGTCAGATTGGTTCTCTTCACCCACTGCTTTAGCTGTCAGTCAGGTCTTAATTGGGCTGTGTCTCTGGATCCCATGGGACCGAAGCTATCTGCATTAATTTGCCAACTGAAACACCGCCCCCCCCACGTTCCTGGAGTGAGGAGACGGCTCGCAGGATGGCAGGTTCTGTTCGTACTGGTCCAGCTCCAGTGCTGAGCGGCCCGGGTGGCATAGCGCACACCCACGCGTGGGCCGGCTCACACAGAGACGGGTCCAGCCTGCTGTTCTGCAAAGTTTGGGAGCCAAGTCTGAGTTCTGGGTGCTGTTCAGAACCACTAGGGGGCACCAAGCTTGGTCTCTGTCAAATGTATGTACACATGTCATTGGTTATTAAAGGGGGGGGTCATAGGTGACTCTAGGCTTTTCTCCCAGGTAAATAAATCTGTAATAATTTTT